GGCTAAATCACCCATTGTACTAATGGTACAACTAACCTATATAACTATTTTATAATCTTACCGTATCCTGTGGAGCAACCCTTCTCGCTTTTAGCAGGACAGTTTTCGCTTCTTTGAGTTTACCTGCACGCAGATATGCACGTGCCAAATACTGCATCACTTCGACATTATGATGTTTGTAGAATTTTTTCATACAGTTCTCGTACATTTGTATTGCACTGATGTATTGCTTCTGCTCAACATATATATGAGCAATATTTAGCCAAACATCTGAAAAGTCAGCCGTTGCCTCTCGCACTTGTGCGAATATATCTCGTGCTTCTATAACACAGCCTTTATGCGCCAATACAGCGCCGATGCCATTAGAAGCCCAAATATTGCGAGGATCATTGCGCAAAACCTATCATTTTAAAACTTATAACTGATCTAAACAGATTGATATATGTATGAAAATATGATACCTGTTTATATATAGATAAAGCTTTTTCTTGATGTTTTCGTTCCTTGTCCTTATCTCTGATCGGTTGATGAAGTGTTTGCAATGAAAAATTTCCTAATGCAATCAACGAGTATGCATCCGTAGCAGTTGTAGGATTTTTCAAGATTGTTTCGAAGTTTTTTTGACCCAAAGCAAATTGCATTTTGGCCAAATGTAAATTTCCTAACAAAGATCTGAATAGCATTTATGATAATTATCATCAAATATATATCCATTTTAACCCAATTACCTTGCATCTGGATTATCGTTATTGATATTTAATGCGTCCTTAAAGAAATCAGATGCTACGAAAATAAGACCTTTGTCACGAGCCATACATCCCAATCGTAAGTAGCAGTCAATATAATTTGGATGTTCTTTTAATATATCTTTGAACAATTTATCGGCTATATCAAAGCTGCACATAGCTTCATTGAGACGAGCCAAATTATAGGTCATTGTCACTGATATGGAATCGTAATATTGTTTATCTGCACTCGAGCTATCTGCTTCCACTTTAGCTCTTTGTATTGCTTCGTTTAACTTATGTTTAGCTATAGCTAAATTACCAATTCGATAATGTAGAGCAGCGACATTATTTAATATTTCAGCCGGTAATTCAACTTTAACCTTTTCAGTTAGAATATTCGATGCTGTAGCGTAGGCGTTTAGAGAAGCTTGAAGATCATTTTGTTCTAATATTTGGGCTAGTTCTATCCAAGCTTCTACGTCATCAGGAAACTGTTCTGTAACCTTCTTTAAATGTGACTTTGCCATGTCACGTTTTGCTTGTGAGTTTGAGTTTGCATAAAGAGAGCCCAAAATCTTCATTGTCTCGTAGTTTCCTGGTTGAATTTTTAACACTTTTTCAAAACATTGAGCAGCCTAAAAAATAAATAATTTTAATCATATTTTATTTGTTGGTAATAGAGTATTTCTTACATTTTCAGTATCACCGCGATATATATACATCTGCCCGAGACCATAATGAGGTAAAACAAAATTAGCAGGTGCGATTTGCGTTGATTGATAGTAGTACTGAAATGCTTGATCATAATCACACTGGGCATGAAAACTACGTGCCAACTGGTAGCAACTCTCGGCTCGCATCGCTTCATTTTCGGTGTTATGAAAAGCATGCAATGCCAAATGTTGAACTTTTTGATAGTCCTTTTTGAAGAAAAAGTGATTTGCTAGATGATTCAATACCATCGGGCTGGTAGAATCAATAGTATAAGCTCGGGATAGCATTTGAACACCTAATTTGTTAGAGTCCGGTTCATGCAAATTAAGTTTTAATATTGCCAATCCAATAAGAGCACCAACGCAATTAGAATCGAGTTCTAGTGCTCTTTCAAACGCCTGTTTAGCTTTTTCTTGATTGTTCATTTTAAGGAAACAATGACCCATGCCCATACGAACGTTTGCTGGACAATTCGGATTTGTACGTAAAGCTTTTTTATAAAAAGCCAAAGCTCCTCTATAATCCTTTTTATTGAAGGCGATACATGCTTTGCCCAATAGCGATGGAATATTTGCCGGCGATTGATTGAGAACGAAATTAAATTGAGCGTCTGCTTGTTCCATTTTATCACCTTCTAACAAGCAGAAATAAGCTCTACCCAACAAGTGATTTTGATCGTACATTATAATTTTATCAGCGGTTGTATACAAGTTTGTGGCTTTCATAAATAACTCTCGCTTTTTCTCTTTCGATTTTTCCCGATTTGCTTCCTGTACGTAATGTGCAGCCAACATGTCATATGCACGCATTTGATCTTTCTCCATGTCACGATAATCGGTATTCCCTTCGGTTCTAGCCGTTTCCAAGAGCCTTATAAAGTCTGCGGTTTTTTTCTCCTTGTAGTACGCCAACTAGAAATATATGATGATTTTAGGATATATCGCTATGATTTGCACACATTAAATCAATCTTCTATAAATATGTATGTATGTATATACATTTATAGAATAATTCATATATAAAAACTTACCGCCACGTTCACCCAGGTATTTAACTGGGAACGCTCTTGGCGTAAAATCGCTAGTACTTCTTGACATTCCGGCAACTGATCTGGATGAACCTCAATAACCTGATAGTATTAGGAAAAACAAAAATTTTATATCTACAAAACTATAAAATGCATTATGTTATATTACCTCGTCAGTATCCCGCAATGGAATTTCAATAGGCGCTGACATGGTTTCTAATAATCTCGAAAACGCAGCAGCCAAAACAACAAACTAAATTATTTCGCCAATGCTGGTTAACGTTGAGAGCAATATATCGACTATACAAATGATCGACTTATCTACTTAAGCTAAGACTGTGTGCTAAACGATAGAAAAAAGAAAAATCTGACAGAAGAATGTGAAATTTTGACAATTTTCGTAATGAATCCGATTGTCGGAATTTTACCCAGCTCTTGAATATTCATTCTGGAATGAACGGATTTAAACGAACCGCTGCATACATAACATGTATCTACTCTAAATGAGAAAAGCTCTCGACTCTTGAATTTTTATTATTTAGTGGAAATATTGCAAACTAAAATTAATATGATAATTAAGTAAAAATAATATTTTTGTAGTTGATTAACAGATCTTAATGTAAATATATTTATGAATATAATAAGATATGAGTATGTATATACATATACAAATCTCATTTAATAAAAAAGTTTCAAATTATTGCAATTTTTCTAGTTTTATTAATATATTTATTAGCAAGCAACGTATTTGCTTTTCATTTAATTTATTTTACGAATATATAATTTTGTTTACACCATAAGGAATTTTCCCCCCGTTACCGTTTGGTACATAGCCTAAGTACAGATCAAATTTTTTGTAATATAATATAATATAAAATAAACAAATAAATATTTTAAATCAAATCGGTCAAAAAACCTCATATAATAAAGGGGTTCACGTTTGACATAATTTTCTGTGTGACGCGACATGAATTTGATAATGTTGAAAATTTATTTTCAAGGCACTATGATGATTTCTGCAGGTTTTATGATAAAGAGGATACCGGCACCCGGTAGGGAATTCGTCAAAACCGTTTGGCAGCCAATGTGTTAAGAGTTGAAAGTGGTATAATCGCTATCTTCAAGGCTACCAAGTTTTGTTTTGTATAATTTAAATCAGTTTTGTGCTCAAATGACATATGAAAATACAAATTCTCCTTTTTTCTGAATTTATAAACTTAACACTTTTAATTAATTATAATCGATATTAATATTATAAATGTGAATGTAAGTTTTTTTGTTACGCTTCATGACAAAACCCTTAACCGATCATCATGAAGCATTTTACACATGGTATCAGAAAGGACATAAGTATCCTATTATTAAACGAAATACATATGTATATAGTTTTTAAGGATTGTGGAAAAAAATTAATTTTGTCAGATATGGTTTTTTGTAATGTACAGTATAATATTCGTATACATACTATGTGTTTAGTTATTTGTCTTTATTAATGATCGTTGATATTTATTTAAGGGATTCAATGCGAGCGAAGTCGCCGGTAAAGCTTGTAGTTTATAGTAAATAAAACTTAACGCTAACTTTCATCGCTTAGGGAATCTGTAATCGATTACACACACATTTTAAATAAAAATTTATTATAATGCTGTTTGACTAAGTTAAAGGGCATTAGAAACAAATTACTTTTAAAGCTATGATTTAACATCACACAAAAAATAGTAAGCAAGTTCTTCTTTTTAAATTCTCCAATTCAGCGATATAATAGTTTTGCTCACAATAACTCGTTGAATTGTTTTTAAAATAGTAGACTTCTTCCTACGTTTTGGATGGGATACACATCGGTACACAAATGTTCTGCAAAATAAGCAGCTCTTTGGCTTATACAAAATGCACTTCAAATCATTAGACAAATTATTTATTATTTAAACCATAAGTCAGCGGCAACTAAATGTATACAATTTCTTAATCTGGAGAACCCACTCCATCCGTATATACTTTTTTAACCAAATCAGGGGATGCTATTCTAAATCCCAGCGCATTTGACACACGAATATAAACAACAATATATAACAACAATAAAAACGCCATTGTTATTATGACAAAATACTTATCTTCATTTTAATTAATGCATCACAAGAAAGTCAGGAACAATAATAATAAGGATGTATGTCAGTCAGTGTGAAATTGAAATTTGACATTTTTTGTGGTCTATATGGACGTCAGAAATAGCATTTAAAACTTACCATTATAAAATTTTAAAGTAAAAAAATGGGTAAACTATGTTAATTTGAGTTAAAGAAACCAGTCTATATATGTAGTTTTAGTTTACCGAGGTAAGGCTTATACGACTAATAAAACTTTATTAGATGTATGATCACGCTTATCTTACTAATTATGAAAAGGTAGTTTTGAAAAGCCTTACATTTTCACCCTATACGAAGCCTTTTGAATTCCTTTAATTTAACAAATTTCATTGCCCAGCTACTTAACATCAATCATAACGACCCTAACATTTATAACAAGTGCTTATATATCGTGCTGTGTTAATAAGTGTTGTATATTTTGTATATTTTTAAATAAAGTATATAGATAAAATACATATGTAGACGTAAAAACTTATTAACTGTAAGTACAACAACGTTAAGTCCAACTAATGACATGAGTTGGCCCAGTTTTAATACATTTGAGTATGGTTTAAATATAATTCATTGACACATAGTTAAAAAAAAATTAGACCCCCTTTAATATTGGAAATGATAGCATTAACAGTATTTCTTTAAAATTGTATCCTAGTAACTTTAAAGTGCATTTTACTTTCAACTATAACTATGGGTGTATATTTTAATAATTCACAACTGTTTAAATTAATAAAATATTAATATTAGTTTCGTCGTCATGAACACCTTTATAATAGGCGGGTATTTCTAATAATGATTGCTACCGCGGTCTGAGTATTTTCCACTAACTTTGCTTATCGAATAATGGTCTGAATAACCGTCATATTTGTTCCCTTTATAAGAAATCTCTTTGGTAGGTATGTAACCGATGTTATTTTGCCAATGTCTCGTCCAGTAAAGATTTTCATTACGCACTTGAGAAGGTGTTTTGGCGTCTCTGCAAACATGCACGCAATATATCATGCACCCAATGAGAGTGAGGAATCCAAAAATTAAAAATATAATCCCAAGTATCCTTAAAACGATAAATTGAGATATTAAAAAAAAAAAAGGGAAATGTATGAAACTAAGAAATGCATACCACACATATAGAGGATCATAAAATTGGACAACAATCACAAAACCCAAGGTTACGAGAATTAAACCAAGATTCAAAAGCAACATAAGACAGCAAACTCCTTTTATATTAGGGCAAAATGGGTTTGGCGCAGACATCGCGTCTATTTTTACGCCTCTTTTCGTTGTTGACCGAGCACTTTGCCCCGTCTTTGCTGTGCTTGCCATCGAGTAAACACTATGTGATGCCCCACGTGATTGTGGCCGATGGCTATATCGACTGTTGATGGAATAAAAAGGAAACCAATTAACAAAGAAACAAAAACTTAAAAGATATCAAATGATATATTTCTAAAGTCATATTTCATAAATAAAGTTCATATATGTGCAGATTATTTTGTTTAAGAGAGATTGTATTTATATAGTATATTCTACAGAATAATTTTTTAGGCAAATATATGATATTTATACTTTTTTAATATTCACCTTATTTCTGAAGGTTCTTTATAAGCAGCACTAGTCACATAAATTTCACTGCTTACATCACCACCTTGGTCATAAGTAAGAGTAGAAAATGTGCGGGCTTGCGGTGATCCATTTGACCATTTTTGATTATAAATTACACTACTCTCCTCTGCTGGACTTTGCTGGTTTTGATATAAATTTATTTTGCGCGCCGAGCTATATGGATACTCCTGTGTAACTGTATATCCCGCCGCCGATGCTGCATTATGTGATTCTTCACCATCAGTAGAGTAAGCTCGATTAGAATGAGTATACGCAGGGTATCCTACGGGTTGACTGTGTGTTGCAACATAATGGCCGCCTTTAATTCTAAAGGAGAAAAAAGAATTAAGTTGATTTAACTTTTTTATCTAGCACAAGATTTACAGTTTACCTATATTTATGTATATATGTATATTCAATTGGAGAAACTAAAAATTAAATGTTGCACTTACTTCTCAACGCGTCTCTCGTGCATTATGTCTGTGTGTTTTGTTTATTTTAGTTGTACCGCATGAATGTAGTAAGGACCTGGAATGACATTTTTTATTTATATGTGTAACACACATATAAAGATATATAATAAGAGTTTATAAATTAGCAATGATAGCACTTAATCTTAAAGAAGTAATTAAAGAAGCAGGTGTCAAACCAAAAAATAACTTCAAAAACTACACATATGTTACATTTGTAAAACTTAAAAATATAATATATGTAATAATACGTATGTATGAAAATAGTAAAAAATAAATGCATGAGGAAGCAGTCCAACATTATTTTATACGTTTATCTGTATGTATGTGATTTAATAACTGCGGTTATATATTTACAAATACAGAGGCAGTTGCAAGTGGATTGCATCTCATATAATAAATTTTAATTTTTAATAATTTATATTGTATATATGTATATTAAAAAAATATGTTTGTTAAAAAAATACTAACAGTATACAAATAGAGTATTAGTAATGCAATATAAATGTGAGCAAAGCAAATGCATTGTCAGCCCACCAATCTATATATATATATACATATACATAAGTATGGAAATACGCATAAAATAAAATAGTTGTTTAACATGTGTTCATACATACATACATATTGATATATGAATATACACTTCCAAACTTACACAGATTCTTTGAAAACTTTATGCCAAATAAATATAAAATGTCTAAAAATATGCGGAAAATAAATCTTTCGCCTATACGCCTCCACCTACGAGTTTTCGCATATTTGCATGTGGTATATACAAAATATATGAATAGTTCCTTTTTATATGGTATACTTACGTAATACATTTAAAATAGCACCAACAAACACTTGTAAACTAAAGAAAACACTCACAGATTTCAACTCAGCATCAAAGTTAAATATTGAAATCTCTATTTGAAAATCTTACATCTAGGATTTCAGTCTATTTAAAACTTATATAATTATATTTTATATATTTAATACACTCCTAAAAGAAGCAGAAAATATTTTCGCAAATCTTATGTCTACTTTGTCCGCTGTACCATATATGTATCAACAAACTAACTATTCTCCATTTTCTTGTTTCTACAGCAGAAAGCTTTTTATTATTGCCAGGTTATAAGAACCTACGCGTTTAGCGTCAACTCTAATATCATCAAGCAAAAACTCGGCGCTTTTAGCTTTAAACATAATATGCATTTAAAACCAGTTTTGTACGCCAAGCTTAGTAATCCCAAGCTCCATGCCTAAACTTAATATTGCTAAAAGTAACCGGTTATTTGTTGCGCTTTGTTTAACTTCATCATAAGAAACGAACAATACATCGCTATAAAATCTTTATTTTACATTTATATCTCCTACGGTCCCAAAACGTTATTTTACTAACAACTTAAATTTTTTGATTGTAATTTTAAATTAGCCCTTCGTTGTAAAAAGTCCAATAATGCTCTCCTTTTCGGTTCTCTTTAGAAATAGGTTTGCTACTTATTAGCTAAAAACCAAAAATCATTGATTTAGTTCAATTAATATTATTTAAACTTCAATGTAAAAAATATTACCTGCACCTTAAAAGTGAGTCTTATTATTCCATACTTTTAATTACATTCCATTGCAATTTTTTTTTAAAATAGGTTTAATGAAAATGAATTATTTAGAGCTGTGTGTGATAAATTATGCCCACTTATACGGGAGTGCATATTATGGTTTTCTCGTTTAACTCCAGTAAAGGTATTAAGATTGAACATACCTTTGGTAGAAATATTTCCATCTGTTCTTTGAAAATATTTACTGAAATTAAAAGTAAGAAATAAAAGCTGCATCAAATCAACGTTTACCTTTAATTCTAAAAGATGTTCAGAAATTACGAATTTCAATTATTTTTATTATTTTTAAAAATCATATATTTTATAAAATAATAAAAAATATACTTGAAAATTATTCTCATACACAAAAGATTTAAGCAGCAAACGCGACCTCGATTGCAATGGTGTGAGTGTGCATTATATTTCAGTATACAAGGTGTGTGCAATAAATGACGGAATATTTAAAATTAAAATTTCGTGGGTTTAGAAAGTCAAATTGCCAAAATTTTTTTTATTATGTTGAAATACATGCCCTGAAGTACGATCAAATTTTGGCGATTCTCATTTGTTAAAAGAATACTTTAACAATGCCTAAGCCTCCATATTCGCCAGACATGGCAACGTGGCACTTTTTCATATTTTCAAAAATAAAGAGGACCTTGAAGGGCCGTTGTTTTACAAGCATGACATGCCTGGGCATAATATCGAATAGGTACTATTTCGAAGGCGACAACATTGATGTAGACAAATAAATAAATATGTTTTTCAAAAACAAAAATTTCCGTTATGTTTTGAACACACCTAGTATACTGTTTGTCACAATAAATCATCAAAACAATAAAAATTTGCTCTTTTTTTGTCTATATTACTTTAATAAAGGCGAATTTGTTGAGTTAGAAACAAAGTGATGAAAATTTTACCTGTCCGTTCGACTTTAAATCAAATGCACATCTCAATTAATAAGTGGAACAAATACATTGAAGCTTTTGCATATACGAGTATAATTGAATTAACATGTAATTGTAAAATCTAATTTAAATGTTAATTTTGTAAAATCATAATTAAAAATCAGTAAGCTAAGTTCGGGTGTAACCGAACATTTTATACTCTTGCAACTTGCAAGGATCAAAGTCGGCGTAATACTTATAGGTGTTGGCAAAATTTTATTTCAAAAAATGTTGCGAAAGAATTTAATATTCATTATTCGACGAAATCGTTAACGAATAACAATCAAATTTAATATCTCATTAACTTATATTAAAGCTGAGTACATGAGCTTAGCTTTTAGTTTTATTAATATATTTTAATCGAGTCAACGAAAATTATATTTAAAACATCCTTAAATGAGAAATATGTGATATAAATTCAACCGAAGAGGCTAAATGTAATACCTATATTGATTTGATGTGGAAAACGTTAACCGGAGGATCGAAATTCTTTATATTAGGTATATGTGGTTTAGACCAATTTAATTCCAACCTGTATTCTATGAAAATAGCTCAGATATTGGCCGATATATAAGGTATAAAGCAAACCAGAAGTTCGAAAATCTTTCTATTATCGATAAAATGTTCGCTGTTGTAACTGGGGTCCACATATTCGGTATCTAGGGGCTTGAACTGTTGTAGTTAAGTTTTAGATGATACAAACGACCTTTAGGTGAACAAAACTATTATATTCTGCAGCAACATGTTGTAAAAGTAAAAACTGTAAGTCCAAAATCGGATTAAAAGACTATTTTTAATTTTTAAATGTAAATACCAAATTGAAAAATTTATAAACCCAAATTGTTTTAAAATTTACATTTTTTCGCGTTTGCTTACTTCGAGTTCTACCATTTTTAAATTAAAAAATTGACCATTCTAATTATGACCCTACCCTTGCTTGCTAGTTGGCATTACTGTATTGTTTATAGGTACAAACCTTTTAGGCTGCAATTCAAGTTTCTTTATTTTAAGTACCTCCCTTTCCAATCGTTTACGCTCATATCGCAACTGCTCGTATCTTTCGTATTTCTGCTTTGAATTAATCTCCAAAGCTATACACTTTTTTTTAACTTTTTCCATTTCCGATCGCTGAAAATTAAATAAATATCTTTATCATTCTCCACAAATAATATTTCGTCACAAAAAATATATAACTGTATTTTGACATGAATACAATCAACAAGAACTAAGAACATTTCATGAAAGTTCAGCAAGTGTTTTAAACACTATTATGTTAACAAGATAGTAAACTACATCTATTTTAAATTGAGTTGTAATAAGAAACAGAGGAACAGTAATTATTTGGTGACATACCATACGAAACATTTCCTTTTTAAAACTTTCTCGGTGCCTTGTCTGAAAATTCAAGATGCGTTCATTTGGTTCCCGCCATGGTTCAGGATTTAAAAGCTCCTTAGCATGAGCCGGCATAACGTTGCATAATACTCGATACCGCTGTATGTTCTTACAAATTGGACAATTTACTTCACTGGTTACATTTATGTGATTAGTGGCGAGTGTTGTTGCACATTTTTCGCAAATCATATGATTACAAGACAGCAAGAATATTCTCCTTCGCTTACGTATATAAATTTCAAAGCAACGGTTGCAGTGTATCCAATATAAACCCACATCTTTTGGCAATTTTAATTTGGAATTTGCATTAAGATCATCGAATGATTCTCTTTCCATAGTTTTTATTTCGATGTTCAAATTTAAAGATATAACTGGTTACTATAACTGTTTGTGTATGTTTGATATCCGTTAACATTGATTAAGCTCATTTTACACAAGGTAAACATCATAGACTTAAGAAAAGATCGACTTATTCTTTGTATGAGTATGATGCGAAGCAAAATGTATGCTTGGCAACTCTCATCTTTTTTTTATTTTTATCATTTTTCTTAGAGAGAAACGCTAGAAAGCAAAGCTGGCAAGTACGGAAGGGCATGGAAAATTCGCATAGGACTTTTGCTTTGCTTTGCGTCAGACATTTGCTTTCATTGATTGGTTCGATGTTTGTTTTTGTATGAGTACATACTAATAAAAAGTTTTAGAAGCAAAGCAAAGCAAAGCAAAATGTTGGACAACACTCATCTTCTGAAATATTAACTGAATTTACATATTAATTTCATAAGCAATAAATGCAATTTTATTTTTAATATTAAGATATTTATGTAATTATAGCTTTTGTTACTTTTAACAAATTTATTAGTAAAACTTTCAAATATTAAATTTTATACATTTAGGGCTGTTTCCTCAATGTCTGGTTAATATTGGCCTTAACAACTGGTAGCTTAACTTGTTCAGTTCAAAAAACATTGAACTGCAAAACTGTGAACTCGCAAAACTGTGAAAACGCCATGAGCCATGTATATGCATGTTCAGACGAAGACTGCCGCCCAAACCGATATAGACGAAAAGACCGTGCCGCTCGTGCTTGGGTGGCGCGCTTTGTGTTTTCTTTCGTAACAGCTCGCTGCAATTTGGCATTAATTTTCATTTTGAAATTCCTTGCAGTTTCAAAAAAATGTTTATCATATGTTGATATTCAAGACTCCTTCTTTCGGTAAAGATTACCAGAACTTAACTGACAGATGATTGCTAACCAGATATTGAGAATACCATTTTTCAACATGTTGCCGATAACGTTCTAGTTAAGTGCATATTGAGCAAACAGCCCTTAAAGCTTATTATTAAAATAATTTACACTGATAATAATAGTTTTCTTCACGAGAGAGCTACAGTTAAAGATAGATATATGGTTAAAGATATATAAATGAATAGGAGGACAGATATTTACATATGCAATGATACGTAGTACTAGTGTTCCTTTGCACATTAAGGAGATTGGTTTTTCAGATCTGCTAAATTGGACCATTGAAACGTGCAGGAAATTACGCGATTTAATTAAAGCTAAAAATATAGTGATTAACTTTGTTTTAAAAGTGACCGTGTGACCATCCGTTTGGTTTTATTTTCACATCTTAAAAAATACTAAAGCTGTGATAAAAACTATGAATAATTTCGACATACTAATTGTGCAATTGTAATAAAATAATAAAGTAAATTTATTTTAAATATGTTGAAAACTCAATTCCATATTTCCATCACCAGAACAACATGTACCAAATGTTATTTAGCATTTATACCAAATATGAAAGGCTGCAATGAATGTTACAAATTATAAAATAATGAACCACCTTAATGTGTTTATTAAAACATGGTTATCGATTATTACTTTTTATCGGTAAGCTGTTATGAGAAATAAGGCGGGAAATTTGCTGATTGTGCGGAAAATATTAGTAAACATATCAATGTGTTTGAGAGTTTTAAATAAGAAAGTTTGACAATAAATCAGGAATTATAAGGGGAATTTGTCAATAAAATGGAGAAAACTCTGGTTGACGAAAGCAGTGATAGTAACATTGCATGCTCAAGTAATTTTAAGGTAACACAAAAGTTTTGAACAATCCATCTATATAAAAGAAAATAAAAATATATACATATGTACATATATCATATATCAAAAACATATCTAACTATAGAAAAGACATACATTTAAGAGCATTTTGTAGAAAATGTTATCCTTAGGAGTTTTTACGATATATTTTCATATAATGACGTCATTATTAAACAAATTAACTAAGAGAAGTTAATGTAATTATTTCTCTCAATTTGTAGGAGATAGAAGGTGTTGATCCTAGCAATGAAACTAATGTGGACCAAAATAAAATTTTTGAAATGGGTGATGGAACGTACAAAGTGGAAGAAGATAATATTGCCCATCCAGAACAGGCTGAAAAGGTGGATGATAAATATAAAGAAAGACCCCATATTTATTTACATCTTTATTAACATGGAAAATTTAATTTTATAGCTATCGAAACCAACTGATAAGCAAGCCATACAAAGTCAACAACAGCGTTTACAAAGAGAAGCTCAGTTTAGGTAAGAGCAGACAGATTTTATTTACCATATTTTTTTACATATAATTGTATAGCATTCCGTACCACAAGCCAAAGAAATATACGTTGAAGGAATTTCTTAGTCGGCGTACTATTATCAAACCATGTGAACCCACCAAAGAGAACGGGTTTTCGGAAGCATTTGGGAGAGCAAAAAATTTAAAAATGTCCAAAGAAGAATTAGAAATTTATTCGTAAGTCATTTATATTAGAAAAAAAAGTTATTTTGAACGTTTTTTGATTGTGGATATATAGAAAATTAATGGAAGATAGAGCCAAAGAAGCATCTGAATTTTTCAAAGATGATAGCACGGATGGATCAACACAAAAAGGCGGTGAATGTGGTGAAACAGTTTCTATTAGAGTAGTTGTATCCAATAAGCAAGAAAGCCGGGCTGAAGCCAATACTATTCCACAAAAACTCCACGGAACAAATGAAAATGTTTCGAATGTTGTAATTACGGAAATTGTAGAGCTTCCAAAATTGAATCTGAATGATATAGCTAAGGAATTAAATTTAAAAAATATCATAAATCAAACTTTGCTGCCCAAAGAAAGGTCAGAATTTCCATTGAAATCAAACTCAAATGTTTCTCAACTATTAAAGGCTAGTCCCACATTAAAAGGAAAGCAGGATATAACATTCGATTTGATATCGATCGAAAATGATACCCCTAAAACAATTAGCAGAGCTAATAGTTTGCTGGAAAGACTTATGAAAACGAACACCTGTCATAAACCTAAAACTAATGAAACTATTGGGTGAGTGGTTTATTCGCAAAAGTGCATTTAATATATTTAACCATATATTTAATATAAAAATATCTTTGTAGGATAAACAGGCCGAAATGTAAAACAAATGCTCTAAATGATGAAGTTGAAACTTATTCGAATAAAAAACCTGGAGAATCATTTTTAAAATTGAAAGACAACCTGAAGTCCATCATCGTGGAAAAGCGTAGACAAGAACTAATGAAAAAACAAATGGAGGAAAATAGTATGAAGAATGCTATTGATGACCCTAAATACTTGGAAGATTCTATAGAGTGCGAGGATAAACTATCGGTAAGAATGTGTTTGTGTGCAAAGTATATGGTATATGTATATATAATTGCCTAAATTCGTTCTAGCTGGGTAGCTCTGACAACTCTGAATCTGAGACCGACGGAGAATCTGTAAATGAAGAGTATTCTGAGGATGATGATAAAGATGTTCCAGTTGAGAGAAACCAAACATCTAGCTGGGATTCTAAACCGTCAAACGGCACCTTGCGATTAGAACTTTACTCTGATGATTCCAATGAATCGCAACATTTTAATCCATCAGCCATTAGTCAAGTACCCGCAACACAGATATGTAATCCAGATGAGGAAGCAGATCAATTAATAAATTTATGTTCTGGTACTTTTGAAACGCAACCGACCAATGCACAAAATCTAACTATCTACAATGAAATCCTATCATCAAGTGGAGAAAATTCTTCACGTTCAAGTGGTGAAAACATACGAACTAAAAAGTTAACAAAAAAAATAAAAAAATCGAAAATGAAATTGGGGTTTTCGGACGATGAAGCTGATGAGTCCGACGAGCCTGACACAAATGTAGTCACAAGCGAAAATAATTTATCAATTGATGACGAACCTGCTACTTATATTGATTATGACTCGGAAGAAAATGAAATAACGGTGGAATTGACCAAGCAAGACTACTTAAAGAAAGCTGAAATCTTTTTCGAAAGGGAGGCAGAACTATCTGACTCCGAATGGGGCAGTGCAGATGAAGACGAAAAAAATTTGGATCAATACGAGAATGAATTAGGTGACGAAGATGTATTCGATAAAGAGGAAATAAGAGATGAACTGGGAAAAATACACGCGTGAGTATTGTTTATAAGTATTGAATTTCTAAAATTCATGTAGTAGGAATTTAATTTGTAGAGTTGTATTTAATATAATTTTATTGATAAATGACTAGGCGTAAAATGTTAGATGAGGATTTGCGGCAAGTACATAAATTGCAAGAAATTCTATTTGAAGATGAAGACGAAGCTGCTCAACGACAGCGTAAATTTCGGTGGAAAAATTTTGACAATTCGTTCAACCTTGAAATTAATCAAAATAATATCACAGAAACAAAACCTGAAGAAGGCAGTGATGATGAAAACGAGCATTTATGGAGAAAAATACGTTTTGAACGCGAACAGGCAATAAAGAATCATTCTTTAAATGAAGTATGCTATTCATATGCTGTTTGGTGTAAATATTACTAAAAAAAATGTTTTTTTTTAGAATATCTTAGAAGCGAGCACCTCCGTTATTACACCCAAAATAAATGATATTAGAAATGTTACAAGGGTAAATATGTCGAAGTCCATCGTCGATGGGTCTGAAGAAAAAGAGAAGAGTCCATTTTTGATATCGAAAGAATTTATCAAATCTGAAAGCGCTAAAGCTCGAAGCTCATTTTTACTAAGGAATAAAAAGGTTTTAACAAAAACAATTTGTTCGGTTAAAAGCAGTAGCATCGATGTAAACACATCACCAGACAAAATTGGAGTTAAGACGATAAATTCTAACAAATTTGTTTTTACTACGTTGACTTTTGAAGAACATGAGGTATAATATCACATAATTTTAATAATTATATCTAACGTTTATCTCATATTTATCTTAGACTTTAAAAAGGAAGGCCGATGAAACGAGTGGAGGTATTGATACCAAAATTGTAAAGAGGGCTAAAAACGAAATAAAAAAGGGAGAATATTTAATAGATAAATTATTGTAAATTATATTTTTGTCCATGAAATTATTTATACTTGAACTTAATTTAAGGAAATACATGCAATAATGAGCTATAGGCATTAAGTAGTACATTTAATAAATTGGTAAAGTAGTTTTAATGTAAGGGTTTTATATGTCAAAAAGTGTGGCAACTATGTGCCGTAACAATGTGAATACATTACTAATGAAGTGTACACACTTTCAATCTGTCTTTTACACTGAAAAGAAAGTGAGTGCTGACAATAGGCCCTCAAAGGTTTTTTAAATGAAGTTATATTCAGAGCGTCCTAAAAAACAGCATAAAGTCATGTCCACTAAATCGCTTTGCTTTTACTGTGACTGTGATCACTAAGTAGAATGCATATATAAGTAGTTATAGGACTTAGAAGCTTCCAGTGCTGATTTTATCGATTTCGTTCAGAACTAAACAATGACCAGTAAACGTTCGTCCGCTTGTATTAATTTGACATTGTAGTTTATAATATGAAGAGCAATATAAAGCGAATTTTCAAAAATAAACAAATTATGTGAAATATGCGGACAAAGCATTCTTGGTCACTTACCTTCAGCGTCAAATGTTTTATTTGCCATAGCCTTTAGTTAAAGTTCCACGTTATGACTCAACTTATACCACATACATATATCTTAATTCGAACTGAGTTACAAATTTTTATGTTCTAAAATTAAATATTTGATTTTTGAAACCATTTTCTTAACATTTGTTAACAAATTATAATTTGTTCTGGCAATGCTGAAAATATCATCGTGTTTAGTTGAATAACACGCATGTGGCTTTTGTCGCGTTTTTATCGGAAACAATAGGGGAAAATATATTGGAAACAAAACACACAGCGGCTAAATTTTTAACATTTTGCAAAATCGAGAAAGCGCCTTCGAATTGTTGAAAGTACCTTAATTGAACCGCTTTTGTTTTTAATATTTTTAATTTAAAGGAAAATTTGCTTGGAGCAAGTGATATTTTATGAAGTCCCATAAAAGTGTTATCGAGAGAAAATTTGATAAACCCAGAAAAAAATTGGGTATACATTCTGTAATATACAGACACGCAAATGCTAAAGGTCTCGTTTACGACGTATAGTTGTAATTAAAGCTAAAATTGACTACACTAAATATAAGCGGCAGTCATTAAAAAGGCTGTTTGATTAGATCTTTGTAAATTGGAATTCCGCCATAAATCTACTTTGTACCCATGCCCGTTTCAGTGTGTGAACCAGTGGCTAATGTTAGCGCAGTTTTGCGGGAATCACTGGGAAATGGGTATTCAAGCAATGGTAGAAATATTTGTAAAACCGGAGGTGTGGGTGACAACTATAATGCCGATGATGACGGATGCCTACAAGCAAAACTTGCGGTCACAGCAAAACGTGTGTTACTATCGAAAATAGAATATGAGGAGGTAACCAACTACGGTCAATCTGTTTTAGGCGCACTAAAATCAAAATATGATATATTGAAAGCCAATACCACTAGTAAAAATTTAAACTATGATTACCTCTCTCTTGGAAAAAATTCGGAACAAAATGGTAAGTTGACAGTATAAACATATATATATATATATTCAAAGAATAAGTTCTTTGTATATACTGAATTGACCACCCGTTTACCACTAATAAAAAATTAATTCAAACAAATTGTACAAATAAATAATTAATAATTCGTTAATAATAATATTTCATCATCCAAAACAGACACATATACTAATGCAGCGCCGTCGAATGGTGCTGCTGGGACTCCAAAGCGACAGAATCCCAACGAATTGCCACAACCAAAGCGAGTGTTGTATCCACGAGAAAATGTTATAATTGGTTGGAAAAATTCAGTACGTAAGTGGCATGTTGGAGTCGGTATGATGAATGTCGGAAATACATGCTACCTAAATTCAACATTACAAGCCCTCTTTCATGTACCCTCTATGGCGAACTGGCTAATTTCAGATGCTAAACATATAGAAGAATGCAATTCATCGGAAAATTGTATAATATGTGCAATGATTAAAACTTTGGAGGCATCGCAGAATAATCAATCAGCGATTCGCCCATACTTGGTTTATTCAAAACTTAAGTTTATCTGTAAACACCTACTTATGGGCAGACAAGAGGATGCACATGAATTTCTTAGATATTTAGTGGAGGCGATGGAGAAGTGTTTCCTTACCCGTTTTCGAAACTACAAGGAATTGGATCAATATAGCAAAGAAACCACACCGCTTAATCAGATCCTGGGGGGTTATTTAAAATCTGCGGTACGATGTTTAGCATGTGGACATGTGTCTGTAACGTTCCAACATTTTCAAGATTTACTATTAGATATAAGAAAAGCAGATACAATTGAAGAAGCCTTAGAAGGTTACTTTTCCAGAGAACGTCTTGAAGATATGGGATATAAATGCGAATCATGCAAAAAAAAAGTACGTATGTGATACGTTTCCTTAATTTTAATTTTCCAAACATTTGAGCACATTTCTAAACTATAAATTTTTACTTTCATAAGTAATAATTTTAATTTTAAGAAATATAGAAACAAACTGATTAAATTAGATATATATGAATGCGTATATATACATTCATTATTTGGGTTTAATTCCATTGTTAATTTTATTTTATTAGAAAATAATTTATATATAAATATGTACTGCATATCAATTAATATCTGATTATTAAATTTCTTATTTTTTCCACATTTTTAGGTCTCTGCTACCAAACAATTTTCATTAGAGCGCGCTCCAATTGTGCTTTGCATACAATTAAAACGGTTTTCAGTTATGGGTACCAAGCTTAATAAACAAATTACAATCAAACCACGAATCGACCTATCTAAATTTGTTTCTCGAAAAGAAGTCGGAGAACAATTAACCTATAAATTAGTTGCTATGGTTACACATTTGGGGGCTTCACAACATTGTGGTCATTACACTGCCATTGGTTTGACCGAAACTGGCTCTTATTACAACTACGATGATAGCTACGTACGCCCAGTTTCTGTACAGAATGTGTGCAATACCAACGCTTATATTATTTTTTATGAAATCGATAAGCACCAGCGTACTCCAAGTAATACTGAGCCAAGCAGCATAAGTGAAGTTGTTAAGGAAAATTCACAAAAACAAAATGGTTATACAAAAAATGAAAATATATTCCCCACAGAAATGAGTTCAACTAATTCACAACAACGTCTTGACAGTAATTTATTCACCGGAGGTATTAAACCATCACCATCATATTATATTAATAAACCGTCCACTAGTAATGGATCCATATCTAGTAAGTTATCCGTAAACCGTCAGCTTAATTTCAAATCTCAAACTAATAGCACACCTTTGACATCGAGTGATTTACCATCAACCAAATTGTCAGTACATTCGGATAATAGAAATATAATTCAACGGCTTCCGGAACAAAACAGCAGTACTCTGCAGGGAAAACACTATGATAATAAAGATGTGGAGAAAAAATCAAACTCATCAACTAATGATAACCATGTGGCTCCATCTATTGAAAAAAAGCGTAGTAAAGGTTCAGAGCTGGTACCCCTACATAAAGCAAGTGGAAGCCTGCCCAGTATGCCAACTTTATCCGATGTTCAAAATCAAAATTTAAATCAACCTGCCAAATATTCTGCGATTTCAGTCACGCCTTTAAAGAGCCTTGTGCCGTATGAATCTGAAACCGATGAAGAATCGGCGTCAGAAGTAAAAGATATATTAATAGGTTCGGGAGAGAATGAAAAGAAAAAAAAAGATGTCAAAAGTGCTATTAAACGACCTATAGATAGTCCTTCACAAAACACTACTACAACCATGGAAAATGTGAAGCAAAAAAAAATGGCTATTTTGAGTGAAAATGATTGCAATCCTGGTTCTAAGCAAACAATCACATGCAAAACTGATTTGAATACTAACAAAGCAGACGAAACAAATACAAATCGTTCAAAGGGTAAACATAAAGTTGATATATTTGATGAAATTTTTAATCAAAAGAAATGTGTTAGCAGCAAGGATGAAGATTTCATAAAAAAATCACACGATGAGGAAGAACGTGATGATCATATAGTTTCATCGACTGTATCTCGTCCACCATTTGTACGTTCACATTCTACACCACCATCCCCACCTGTTATTAAAACTAAAACAGGTTTATGGCAAGTTACTACATTGCAGCCAGTGACTGCGTGTATCAGTCCGCCAGAGAAAAAAGTTTTAAAAAATGTTAAAAACCCATTCGCCAAGAAATCATTAGATACATTCAATAAACGGCCAAAGCCCAACCCAGAAGTGAAGTCTGAAAAGACTTTTGCGGGTAATGGCTATAGATGTAGCAATATAACCGATGATTCCGTATCCGGTTTATTGAAACAGTCTCATCGCGGCTATGGGGTCCCTGTTCTTTCGTGGAAGGGTGAACAAACAAAAATATCTAAAGAGGTAAGAAAAGTTTGTTTGATGATTTTAGAAGAAATAGTGCTTATGAATATTTACATACTTCTTTTGTTCAAAACAAACTTATTATTGTTATTGGAATTTGAATCTCAACAATTACTTTTATTTGTTTATCCTACAAAAGGTGGAAGTAGATGCTCAACAACAGCGGCAACACGACTGGCAAAACGATGAAGATGCCGAAATCGACCGTGGACGTCAGAAAAAAGTGAAAAAAGAACAATCTTCACAATCAGATAATCGAATCCCGGGATTTAACCCGTTTCAAGAACAAGAAAATCAAAGACGTTGGAGAGTCAACGGACCAACAAATAGGAACTATAGCGGATATGTTCGACATCAATTCCAACGCAGCAAATTCAAGTTTCAACGGTTCAATTCAAAGTTCCAGCGAATGACTGCGATGTCTTATAAGCGAAACAATCACAGATTGAATAACAGTTATACACGACGGAACTCATAACATAGTAATAAAATGATTTCTATAACTATAAATATTAATTATTTTTCAATATAACTTAAGTGACTGCTCGATTAAAATAGCTGAATAGAAATTATCCTTTGACAGAGACGCAGTAAAAAATATTTATTAAGTAAAAATAAGAAACTAGCACACAGTGCAGCAAGTATGTAATATTAAGTAGGAATGTATGCAATAGTGTAGGGGAAATTGCATTATCTACTTGTAATTTTTTGCGATTTCTTCAAGATACTGCATATTATATAACTGTACCACTACTTCTAATTTCCATTATTAATCTTGCTTTATAGTAAACAATAGTAATTTACTTACAACTGAAGTTGAAAGTTCCACATGAATTGTGAACAAAAGACTACAAGTATATTGTACAATAGATGAAAATTTAATCATTTTTTAAGGTTTCAATTAAAATAAAACAAAAATTATTATTATATACATATTTAAAACCGTATTTAATTTTCGGCTTTAAGACAGCTTAAGCGGACTTTTGTTGGTTTCGCTGAAACCGCCAATTTAGTTTTCACTTTAATAACAAATGCCCGAATTAATTAAAGATTATAATTATTATTGTACTATCTCCGCCCTCTACGTCCGGAAGAATGGCCTCGCTTGAATTGATTATGTTTACTTTTATTTCCAAATGCACCATTTCCATTTGACTTAGATTTAGAATGCTTAAGTCCACGTCTAGTTTTGTGTTGCTTCTTCTTATCTGCACGTTCTTTTTGTTTGAAAATCTTACTTTTTTTGAATTCTTTTAATGCTTTCTTTTTCTTTAATTTATCTAACATTTTTTTGTTTCCAATTTTTCCTAACTCTGACAATGTGTTGTCTGGTTGTTTAAGTTTCGTATCCTTTTCTTTTTTTACTGTTTCAACCTTGAATTCCATTCCTGGTATAGAATTTATATGCGATCCTTCGTCAAAGGCTTCGCTTGCGTTAGAATCGTTATCACTTTCTTCATCCAAATTTTTATTTCCTGGTGCCAATTCTATAACATTTATTTCGACTTCATCGTCTTCATACTCCTTTTCAAGTACCTTTTCTTCTATTTCGGGATCCAGGACAAGTGGTTGAAATGTTTTCTTCATATTTGCCATACTGTTTTTAACATCATTTCTGATCCTCTTGCGTTCCTCTTTGATATCTCGCTCAAGTTGTTCTTTGGCACGAGCTCGACGTTCATTTTTTCGTTTTTGAAAACCACTCAAAAAGTTTCTGAAAAGACGTTAATAATAATAATATAAGTACATATATAGCATATCTGTAATAATAAACATATGTATTTGCATAATATAATGCACTAACTTCCTTTTTTCTGAATCAAACACAATTTCCTTTTTCCTCATTATAGCACATTTACTTTTATAAACTGCAGCAACATATACAAATATCGATAAACTTTCCTGGTTATTTTTGGAAAAATCGATTTAAAATCCCTAGGCTTAAAAATAATGATAAAATACAAGATTATGCCAAACACCCTCTTGTGACGTCATTCGTTGAGAAAAAGAAGTCTTGCAAACAAAAACGTAAACACTTTTGTTAATTCGTGAAATATACTTAACTTATTAGTTTATAGTGAAAATATCTTACTGAAATTAATAGAATGTTACGGGAAATTAGTTTGGTCATTTTTAAATAAATACTTTATCGACAACATTCAGTTAATTTTTTCACTATAAATTAAACAATCAAGTCTATTTCACGAATTAACAATAGTGTTTACATTTTTCTATTCTAAAATTTAAAAATTAAAACCATTTAATTCTACCGACGACAATAGGCAGTTGTGGTGCTCCAACTAATATGTGAAATGTAAAATTATTCAAAGCTCTAACAGGTCTAACGTTATTTTACCAACAGAATCAAAAATTGCTCTGATATATCATTGGTAATAACAATTGATAAATTTAATTTCAAACAAATTAAATTAATTTAATTATTTTTTGCACAAAAAATTTCTCTAAGAACAAAATATTGAAATTTCATTCAAGTGAAGATTCGTACGGCAACCACAAAATTGTGTACATCAGCTGTTTGATATGTCGCTGCCGTGTTCAAAATGTTCATGAAGTTGGCTTCAAGACGACATTTGCCGACGAGTCGCGTTTAAGTTTAAAGCATTAATTAATAACTTCTGTCGTTGTTTACAATATGCTTCATTTGGATTTCGTTTTTTTTTTGTACCGGCAGGAAACATATAATTTTGAGGAATGTTTTAATTCCTTATTGCAAAAAATTTAGCATTACTATTTTTTATTAAGTAGAGTGGCTCAAATATAAATTTTTAATAAAATAATGCGAAAGATACAAACATTTAAAATAAAACTACTTTTTGAGAAATATAGTTTGTATACAGAGAAAAAAAAAGGCATCCACAAAAAAAGTTTATGATTTTATAGTTTTAGGCATTGTGTGAAAGTTATTTCAATCTCACAAGTAATAAATGTCTCGTGTAAAAAATGTATTCTTATGTTGATGTGGAGTTATAAATTATTTCATTAAACATTAATAAAACATAAATTTTTGCACTTGCAAGTAGTGAATATGTATGTATATGTGTTTATTTACACATCATTTACTGTAATAACTTAGTCAACCAGAGAGCCAAACTTGTTATTTCAATTGTCGCAATGCGCCATATTCTCTATTCCATTCTACATATTGAGCTAAGTCATCTTTCGACACGCTCGGTCGTACACTTTGTAAAGCTGACATAAAATCGTCGATATTTACTGGGCGTACCTGAAAAATATATTATTAGAATGGGATTCAACGAATTTTTAGGCTATTACCTTATCTTTTACTATATGGGGAATCTGATCAGGTGGTATTGAACGCAATGGTTCCATGGAAGCTTCACGGCAAAGAATATCCATGTCTGCACCAGAGTAACCCTTAGTTTGATTTCCAACTTCCTGTATATTATTTTCATCTAAATCATTACATACAGTTCCCAACAGATTTTTTAGAATTTGTATTCGAGCACTTATTTCGGGAAGAGGAATGTATAAACGTCTGGCAAAGCGCCTTCGTGCAGCATCATCTAACTCCTGTGGCCTATTAGTAGCGCCTACAATAAGCACACGATCTTCCTCACTTGTTGCAGCACCATCCAATTGCACCAAAAACTCGTTCTATAAGGAAATCATTTATATCAGAATTTTTCTTGCATTCAATATTTAGGTACGTACTTTTAATTTACGTGAGCTATCATGTTCAGACTCTGAGCGTTTTGATAAAAGAGAATCAACTTCATCGATAAAAACCACCTTTGATAAAGCAATAGGCGAGTAAATTATTTAAATTATTAAGAAATAATAATAATTCAAATACTCACCGACGGTTGATAAACAGCAGCTACAGCAAATAGTGCTCTTACCATTTTTTCCCCCTCACCAACCCATTTTGATGTCAAAGCAGACGAGCTAATACTAAAAAATGTTGACTGAGATTGAGAAGCGATGCATTTACCAATAAGCGTTTTTCCCGTGCCTGGGGGTCCAAATAGCAAAATACCACGAGGAGGACGACGTAAACCAGTAAATATATCAGGCCGCAGTAAGGGGTATACTACAGCTTCTTTAATAATCGATTTTACGTAATCTAAGCCAGCGATATTATCCCAATCTATTAAGTATTAGCAAATTTGAGCAAAGGTTTTCATTTATACTTAATATATTTGCATACCCATGGGCTTATATTTGTACATTATTTCATTTTTAATTAGATCAACCATTTTAGGATCTATATTTTTAAGTCTCTCATCAGTATCTTCAGAGGTTAAATTTAATGGTGGTGATTGGGTATTATGTGGTGATGAATCCATGGCAAATGTACTGGTGAATTTCATTAAAAAGAAAGATCAAACATATTTTTTTATATATTTGAAATATTGTATATGTTAAATAACAACCTGTCCTTTGTTATTGGTGAAACAAACCCGGACTTTATTGTCCTACGAGAGCCCAAAACCTTTTTTGTTATGCCATAATTAAAATATATTGGTACTTCTGCTTTCTTAGCAGTATTTAGCACACCCTTTAAATCATTGTCGCCACTGCCACTAGTATTTGATTTCTGCAAAATAATTTTAAAACAAATCTAAAAGCAAACTTTTAAATATTCCTACTTGAATGGTTTTAGTCAATAGTATTTCCCTCGCTGTTCGAAATTGGTTTCCTCCAATAGTTGGTCCATTACTTTTTGCTTTTTCGCAGCTTAGGGATTCTTTTGTAATTGTATTATTCGTTCTCTCAACACTTTCAATCAATTTAGATTGTTTCTGTTGATGTACAAATCTTGATGTACTCGGATATACGTCTGCAGTCACATTACCGAGTTTTTCAAGTTTTCCTCGGTAATTTGTATCTTGCAAATGCCTTAAATCATCGTCAGTTATTTCCATTCTTTTACAACTTTCATAAACACCACTACATGAAGGCTCAAAATCTGAGTCTTCAAATACGTAATTATCTTTTTTAGAAGCCATGGATAGGGGCAGGTGATTATTCTTTTTCAAAAGCGATTTTACCGAATCCACGCGTTGCTTCTTATATTCGTCTAAGGTGTTAGAATTCAAACGAGTATGATGTTGTTGTAACAGTGCGTAAACTTCAGATTTTGGCAAATTACTTAAATTATAAATAAATAATAATAATAATAATTAAATTAATAATTTTAAGTGTACAAAGGAAAACTCACTGTTCTGGGTCTCCCAATAAAATAAGCTGTCGTCGCCATGCAGCTGCTTTTTCCGAAGCACTAGAAGATGAAGATTTCCAAATATTTTCTTCAACAACATATTGTCTAGCGCAATCCTTCCTCTTTTCGCACATTTTTCTCAAATTGTTCAAAATCAAATACCCGCTTAAAAATCTTGACACTCACTGGGCATTGCCAGATAAAACTATGACGTAGAAAATAAAAACATAAACATACCAGTTCACAGTAAATATTTTTTTATTAACAAGAATGTTTATCAGTACTTTGTCTTTGACATCAATTAAACGATCTGTAAAACAATTTTAGAATTATTATCAATCAGCAATGGATCAACGGAAATAAAATAACAATGTCAATGAAGATGAATATTAACATTCGATTTAAATTTTAAATACCGGAAATAGGATGGAGATTGCTCGCTGTGATGTGTCAGCATCAATGTGGGATTAATAAGGGTATTCCGTAAATAGTCGACATAGGGCTCATACCTGTTGCAGCTGGTACACCCAATCCATATAAACCAAAACCTTTCGACCAGCTGATATACACATAGCCAATAAAGTCTGCGTTCACCCGACACTATTTTTTAAGTGAAGTAAGAACACAATGTAAATAGGTAATTCAGTTGAAATTTTCTACATGTATTTCTTCTTTATATTTTTAAGCTCAAAATTCAAAAACAAAAATGTATATTCCTATTTTCATTTTTGTGATAACGGGATTTTACTGCAAGGAGAAGTTAACATAGGCACCACTAAGTCTGCGTTCAGCTTTAGTTACAAAAGTATTAAAAATGATAAAGAAAAGATAAATTCAATATTTTGTTGGATAGCCGCGTTGTTTTAAAACCTTGCTCAATCGATTTGGCATTGATCTTACCAACTTATCTGTTTCCTCAGCTGTAATCTGGGACCATTCTTCTTTCATAACACTTCGCAAAGCCTCTTTACTTGTTATTGTATGCTGACGAATTATTTTTTCCAACAGATCCCATAGATGCTCAATAGGATTGAGGTCAGGTGATTGAATGGGCTTTTTAAGTTGTCTAGAAGCATTGTACAATAGCCAAAGTCTAACTATTTCCGCAGTATGCTTCGGGTCGTTATCTTGTTGGAACCAAAACGTCGAAGATAAACCAAGATTCTCTGCACTTTGTTTTAAATTGTTTTTTTAATGTTCAAATAACCCCATTTATCCATTGTGGATTCAATAAATTCAAGCTGACTTTTTTTGAAACTTTCGCCATCTTTCCACAACTTACTGATAATTTTTCTTTCCGACAGACTAATTTCGTTTGCTTTGGTTTCCATTTTTTTAAATATTATTAAAACGCGTCACGAGCTCTTAAAACGACTAATTATATTAAAACACAATAGAATCTACACAAAAGAACGAGCAAATTCATGAGAAGTAACGGTATTTCCAATTCAAGCTAACTAAACGCAGACTTAATGGTGCCTATGTTTACTTGTTCCTACACTAATATCCCGTTATCACAAAAATTAAAATAGGAATATACATTTTTGTTTTTGAATTTTGAGCTTAAAAATATAAAGAAGAAATACATGCAAACAGGGATCGCATCGCCAGCAGTATATTGGAGTTCATCAATACGCTAGGGCTAGATGAGTCGCTAAAACTTTAGGGAGGGCACAATAGACCATAGGTCGCGGTGCATACCTCAATCACTATCTAATCTAATACATGCAAAAAATTTGAATTGAATTACCTATTTACATTGTGTTTTTACTTCACTTAAAAAAATGTGTCGGGTGAACGCAGACTTTATTGGCTATCGGTATGTAGATGATAACTTAGTAGTTAATACAGAACATAGAGTTAGGAGAATTCCTACCCAAATGACGATTTCAAGCGAGCAAATTGAAGTTATCCTCCTACTCAAGAACGAGTTACAGAACTGGCCAGTCAAATCGACAATTACAAATCGGTTGCCAGTTACAAAGATAATGTTTCTTTCTTCAACTTGTGGTACATCTGCGAGAAATATTCAATCCACTTACAACTATTTTTATTATCAAATGAAAAATTATGTATATATGAATTAATTTCATATTTGTAATTCGATGGTTTTATGCATATAGTATTTAACTTCACCAATGCTTTTGCTAAGCTTTAAAATATTCTATATTCATACATATATTATTACACAAATGTGGATGTTGTTATGATTATAAATATATACACAAATGTATATAGGTACGTACACAAATGGAGCCTTAGTCGACAACTGATTCATATTTTCTATGTATTTTTCTGTTTAAGGCGATTCAAGTAATAAAACATATTTGATTTTAATAAAAATAAAAAAAAAAAAAACAATTTACGGCTAATCCCTTTTAGTTTACAAATACTATGTCTATTCTATACTTAAATTTATAAAATGTCAAATTCCAGCTCATTTATGGTCCTTTAAAATTGAATGGAATCGCCATAGTTTGTGGGCTAGTAAATTTATCCAAATCGGAATTAGCAGTTTGTACGGGATCTACCAAGTGACAGATAGGCAAGTTCGACGAGGAGGGACTTGGTTGATTCTGCTGACCCATATAATTTGGTAAAGGTCGATGCATTCGATGAATCGGGGGATTAAAATATGGTTGCACCCCAACTGTCATATGTGGGTTACTTGTTTGGGCTATAGATGGGGACACCGTGTAATTTTGATTAAGTGAATGATGTGGATGTGGATTTTGTAGCATTGTAGGTGGAAATCCTGGCATATATGGTTCTGATGCAGCCGACATTACCTTAGGGACTACTGTTGGTGGTACACCTATAACTGGAATACGGGTGTGTGATGGGATTGGTGTATTTTGCGACATAGGAGGGTGAGTTATTGGTGCTGGTAATAATCCCATTGAAATATTTGTACGTGTACTAACAGCGGCTTTTGGAGAATCTTCCCGCTTTGGTAATAAATGATTTGCTATCGGCCCAGATGAGATTGTATGAATGGTGTTACCCTTAATGCTATTGGGCGATGTACTCGGCAATGTGACATTACTAATTTCTGTGTGATTCCCATTTTCAATTGGCGAATAAATTTTAAGATTTATTTTCGGGCTTCCAGTTTGTTGCAGTGTTGAAGTTGAAGAAATTACTTTTGGTGAAAGATTTTCATTTCGATTTGGGCGGGTGAATGTTGCAAGGACATCTTTTTTACTTGTATGCGAATGTGGTGCTACCGCGGTAATTGGTGATTGCATGTAAAGTGGAGATTGTGAATCAGCATGATGAGTAACTATGCCAATACTACTTGATGTTAAACACTTTGGATTAAGAAGTCGTGGAGGTATTGGTCTTTCCATTTGTGATACATACATTGAATGAACAACACCATCGAAGTGAAAGTATAAAAGAGGTGTTGGTGTATGAGTTCGCAAATAAATTGGTTGCTCCAGGCTCGGAGATGGAAAACCATGTGGTGGTGGCGGTGGTTGTTGGTCCTTTTTATTGGAGTTTCCTTTATGCTTTTCCTTACGGACTTTATTTTCAAACAAATTATGACATGAGGGTGTCATCCCATGTTTCTTTTTCAACCTGCGCATCTTCACTCGTATTTTCGCTTCTATCACCTTACGGTCTTCTTCGTCACTATTGTGATTTGGAAAGACTCCATCTTCGAAATTCACTTGTTTTTTCTTCGGTGCACTGTAAGAATAAAAAAAACGGATTTATGTATATACGAATATTTGCAATAAACAGTAGTTTTTTACCTCACAAAGACGCTACGCAATGAATTTGTTTCCCCATCCAATGCCTTCAAAATACTGCGTTTGTTTTTCTCCCCGTTAGGACCGGAGTTCTCTTCTATAACCTCTTCATTGGAACTATCTTTTTTAATTCGGGTTTCGTTGTCGGTTTGTGTATTATTTGCGACGTTACCTGTTTGCAAGTCACTACATGGAACGATTTCAAGTACATTTCCCTTTTGCACTGCTACTGTTGCTTTGGGTAGCTCCTTTAGTAATGGTGACGGTTGATTATATCCAAAAGGTTGTGTACCAAAACGATTATAGTAAAAGTTGGATGTATTTACGTTCACGTGCTGTTGTATTGATGAAAATAGCTCCGATTCATCTGTACCAACAGGTCTAAGGTTTGGGTATGATTGTTGAATAGCATGGGCAGGCGGACCATTAGCTCCAGAATTTGTAATATGAACGTACTGGTTTGTGTAAAAGCTATTTGAGTCGCCTGGTATAGCCATATAAGCTGCTGGCCCATACTGACCATAATGACTGTAATCTTCGTATGCTGGGATGCTATTATTATTTTCATTGTTACCAGAAGACGGTCCATTGAGCACGATATTTATACGGGCATCCAAAGATATTCTATTCGGCGAGTGATTGAAGTAATATGATGTGCTACTATGGTGGGGCTGATTTTGTTTATAAAGCTGATGTTTTGGTGATAACGATCGATGTCTGTTACTATTGTAAGATTTTTCAGACGGTGATGTAGTTCTATTACTCGGTGAACGGGAGATAGAACGGGACCGTCGTTCTGGAGATAAGCTGCCACGACGTGAACCAGTTGGAGATAAATTCGGGTCTGTGGGTGGTGAAGGCGGTTTGAAAGGCAAAGGCGAACGTGAATATCGACCACCACGATGGCGATTAGGAGGAGAACATGGAGATCGAGAATGTGAGCGAGAATCCCTTCTGGGTGAATGCTTTCGGAATCGGTCGTCAATATTTAAAAGCGATCGACGTTTTCTAGGAATTGGGCTGATATCACCGGAACGCCGACTAATTTGCCGGCTAAAACTGGGACTACGACTCCGGCTTCGACGTTCGAAATTACGGTAGCGTGTTGGCTTTGAAAAACCACTACGTCTTTGAGGCGATATGCAGCGTCCACTACTATTTCTAGAGGGACTCACTGACAGCGAACGCACTCGTCCTCGCCGCGAACGAGACCTTGAGTGGAGAGTATGGTGAGATATTATTGGTGATCGACGACGTTTTTGATGATGAGCAGATGTTGACTCCTTAGTTTCCATTATAGGCTTGACTATTGCAACTTCTTTAACGGGCTTTGGTAGTTTTACTGTAGGGTTACTTTTTTCAGGAGGGTCTATTGCTTGTTTTGAATTATCTATATCATTATCCACTTCAAATACAGCAGAAGTTTTAGGCAACTTCACAGGAGATATAGTCAATTTAATTACTTCTCGATTTGTGCTAAATATATTTGAGACTTCGGGTATACCGTCCTTGTTTGGCAATTTTTGCAAAGATTGCACGAACTGTCCCCGCGCGAATGTAGCTGATTGTATTGAGTCCACCGTTGGTTGGCTGTTGGTATCCAAATCGCTGTGACTTTCTTTTTCAATCTTCACTGAATTATTTGCTGAAGAGTCCATAAATTTATTTAAAATAATATTTTTCTCGTGTAAGAAAAGTTTCTCCATTTTCATTAATTCATCACTTATTTCATCAGCTGAATCATAATTAGCGCGCATCATTTGTATTCGTAATAAGTTTGCTTCTAGATTTTCTAATTTTTTTAGGTCCCTGACAACATTTGGCTTCGAATCATCTTTTGTGGCGGTTAGCGACTTCGCTTTTTCTCCATCATCTGATGAGCGACGTTTGGAGACTTTTCCGATTGCTTTTTCAGTATTGCATGCTGCATTTGAATCATTGTTTTTTATAATATCCGTATCATTACTATCCTCAGATGCCGAATCACTTGAGCTCGTAGTACTAGATGATCCCGAGGATGAGACTGAGGAATCAGATGATGAGGAGGAAGAGGACGAATAAGAAGTGGATGATGTCGATAATTGTTCGCTTTCTTTCTCCTTATTACTCTTACTGATTGACACCTTTTCATTTGGCTTCAGATCGCTTTCAATATCAGCATTTTCGACACTTTTCATAAATTGATTATATAATAATTGCATATCGTTTGTTTCCTGACAAACTATATTTGGCCTTTGTATTTTTTTGGAATCGTATCTGAATTTCGGTGAACTGCATAATTGAAGGGGTGGTGAATTTTTTGGAGTTGTACTTTGGATTTTTGAATTGGAATCTGATTCTGCACTATCCATAATACTTGAAGAAGGACTTTCGATGTCGATATTTGTGACATTTTTAGAAGTTCGCTGATTTATATTTGAGAAAACTGAGTTCAAATCCATTTCGTCATCATCATTCTCCCAATTATCCGAATAGTCATCTGTGTCTGGACTGCCGTTGTTAGTACACGTTACAGATTTCGAAAGCACACAAGGAGAATCTTTTAAAGAATTTCCAAGTTTGTCAGATACTATTTTTACAAAGTGTGTGTTTTCAATTGGTTTTTGTTTAAAATTTAATGAATTAAGATTGACAGAAATGCTTTTGTCGTCCAGAGTAGAATCTCTATCACCTCTTGTATTCTTCTCTACATCATCCTTTGCTGCTCCGAAGATATCGAAAGATTTTCCTTTTAATTTAGTTTCGGTAAGGGATCTATGTGCAAATTCCGTCTCGTTAATACGTTTCTTTGAAAGTTTTCCGGGTAGTTTGTCTTCTGATTTTGAACGATTAGGTGATATGCTATCAATCGGCAAGTTTAAGCTCGGGCATTTCTTTGTTGAAGGTTTCTTAGAATGACCAATTCCTATATGCTCACGAGATTTTTTTAATAGTTTTTCCTTAGTTGCTTGTATGACTTCAAGTTTTAGTTCATCATCATCAAGTAGTCTGCCTATTCGATCTTGAATTTCTTGAAGTTTGTTTGTTATCTGAACGTTCGATATTGAGTTCGAAGTACTTTTCCCATCGATAGGCGGTAATTCTTGCTTTGGTGGAGTCAAACTTGCAAACATATCCAAAATTTGAGGTTTCGACGTGTTGATAATTCTACTCGAAGCGTTGGTAGAACTTGGGACTACACTATCCGCAATTGGCTTTTCATTGCTGACGTTTGTTAGTGAATTTTCCGTACTTGCGCTACTAATACTCTCTGAATTATCAATTGTCATTGAAGAAACTTCGTCATTTGCAAGTATCGAATTTTTTAACGGTTGTAATTGTAATGCCTCTCGAATTTTTCTAATTTTCTTTCTTTTACTCGATTTTCGTCTGCTTTTTGGACTTAACTGGGTTTTTTTACTTTCCTCCCGCTCTTTTGACTTCTTGCTCTTTTTCTTTTTCGAAATATTTATATCCGATGTTTTCTCACTATTTTTAAAAGAATGCCTATCATGTATTTTGTATGCATAAGATATAGAAGGTTTGGTTTTGGTCCACCTAAATTTAGAAATTTTAAATTAAGTAGTTTGTTTAATACCTTACTATAGACTTACAGTAACTGTGAATAAAGTATACCGGGTTGAAGTACTGAATGGCAAGACTCCTCCGATGGTGTGTTAAAAACCCCTGAATTATATTGTGAACGGTATCGTGGGAAACGTGTACGGTTGTGTTTGTGGAAATCCTCTCCTCTATGTCGGAAATCAGCACGATAAGTCCTCACAAATGGGTTATATGAGCGATAACTAGAAGTATTATTTATTCCTGTAAATCCACGAGAAAAATTTGACGCTACATTAGTTGTAGGTGTAACAAAATCCAATGGTGGCAACAGTGGCATTGAAACCGCACTACTAAGGGATCGCATACTTTCGAATGACTCTGTAATATGTCGAGTAGAATTTATATGATCTTCATGGATGTTTTTCTTATGTTTGAGATTTTTTATAGAATCCTCTTGATTCCTATCAGGTATATGATCTACGCAGGCTTCAATCTTGATTTCTAAGTTTATATAATATATGGAAAAGTATATTTATTTGATGTAAGTAATTTTTGTATAAATGCATGCCTGTTACCTTCTTTAGTATTTTTTTGTCTCTTTTGCTCCTTTTTCTTATTTTTACCTTGGAGTGATAAGAACTCCGACTTTTGTTCTTTCCTACGTTCTAGTTCTTCCTTCCTTTTAATTGCATCTAGTTCCAGTATAGCACGTACTTTCTCTGCACATTTGTCAGTCTCTTTCTTAGAGGCTGATTTCACGAGGGGTAAATATTGGGGTGTACTACATTTGATATTTTTTTCCTCAGACAAATTTGGTTTCATTGACTCAGAGCCATGTGGAGGGGTTTTCACTTCACCGGGTTCTAAACTGCTGTCACCCTCCTCCATTAGTATATCGGTCTTCGTACTGTCTTCTTTGCAATTGATTAAAGACATGCCTTAATTCAGTCAGCTTATATACTAAATATAAATACGGCGATATTGACAAATAAAATTTGCTTATCACTATGACTATATACTTTTCAGATGTAATATTGCAAATTGCAAAAGTTTTACAGCGTTCACTCTGTCACCAGTAAAACCGTAGTGAAAAATGTATTTGAAAAATTAAAGTTCTCACATTTTTAAATGTCTTCAAAAGAACGAAACTCCAATTTAAAGATTTGTACATAAGCAAAGATAAAATCGAAGTTTATAGTTGTGAGCCCTACGTATCGAAATATCGATAGCAGCGATAACTTCATAACAAATAACTACATGGATACACTAAAAACTTACCTGACAACTATTGCCAAATGTTTAAATAACAGCTGTCAATGTGAAGCCAAGAGTGATGAATTCAAAAATAATATCCATTTTTATTTGTATGTTAAAAATATTTTGGTCTACGACATATTGTTTAAATTTTAATTGTCCGACCATCTCTTCTATTTTGTATATCTCGAATGAACTATGTATTTCTTAATGTGTATATATCGTTAACTAAATTGACGCACTATTGTTACTACCTAAATTATTCTCCAAAACATTACTTAGGAATATTTTTTAAGGACATATGTTTTAAAACCAAGGTTACTGAAGTTAAGTATCATTGTTTTATTTTTAAACTTTTAAATCTGGTGTGCTAAGCTACTAAATGTGTACTATTATTTCCAATCTTCTCTAAATGCAGCCCTACAAAATTGATTCTTGGCTTCCGCAAAACACAGTACACAAATGTTTCTCTTTTTTAGTCATACTTAATATATGTATAACTTATATTTTTAGTGGCGACGAGATTTATGCATTGAACATTTAATTACAATAAATAATTCAGAGTTGGTTCTATAGAATTAACTTTTAATTAAATTAAATATGAAATTAAATCGAACCAAAATACTATATATAAGTGGATTTTAATAATCACAATAGGCAGAAGGGCCAAGAAGATTATAATATACACATTCTAATCTATTTTAACATTAGAATAGATTTTTCGTACAAATACACTTGTGCCCAAATACCCAACTGTACCACATATAATTCCTAAAGCACCGCTGAACAATGCCATATATCCAAAGTAGAAAGCAGTTTGAAAAAGACCATACATTCTGAAAATAAATGGAAATGGAATTTTTTTTAAATTAATTGGTATTTCTTATTTTGGTCCGAAGTATAGTTTAGAAGTATTGCAGTAATTGCCTTTAATAATGCTTCAGGAATCGAAAGACGAAACTATGGTACCTATTTATTTACTCATATTCGTTAGCATAAACAAAATGTAACATAAAATTTTCCTAATTTGCAAACACAGGTACATATGCTCATGAATATGCAAATATGCAAATACGACTAATCATAATAATAATACTCACTTTGTTTTAAAGAAGAAATAGTAGAATGAATAAGCGTAAACGTAAATTGAAGTTGATGCCGCTGACATAAAACTTGTCCACTGCCACCGATAGTCCTCTGCGTTTAAAAGGAAATAAGTGCATACAATTGTTACGCATACCGTTACAATCATTAATATGGTGAAAACTAATAACATGAAACCATACACGTAGTAAATTTTATAGGCCCAAAATGATGTAAAAATAAAGTACCTAGAAAAGAGATTGTCGAATTATTTGCAATTAGCAATTATTAAATTTTCAACATGACAACTTTTGATCATATTAAATTACATTTCTATAAAAATTGATCCAAATGGTAATACTCCACCAAGTAGAATTATAATAGCTGGTTCCATAAACCACTTCTTTTCTGGTATGGGACGAGGCACTGCGTTCACTCGACAAGGATGATCTGGCTGTCCATCTAAATTACGTCCTACCACTGTTCCTGCTAATGTAAGGGGCAAAACAACGAAAATGCATATACACGTGACGGCAATCATTGTTCCAAAAGGTATAGCACGTGATGCATGATAACCAATAGCAATAAAATTGATGAAGAAAGCTGTGCCGCAAACAAAAACTGGAACCATAAATGCAGATACCAGCATTTGACGTATCCACATTCGGCCTCCTAAACGAGCATATAACGATCCACCAAAATATCCATTGACAGGTGACGTTGCTGCGTACACAAATATGGCAGTAGAAAGCATTGATCCACGCCTTAAGAAAAATAGAGTGAAAAGCAAAGAGCAGGAATTTTATTTTTTAATATTGTATAAACTATTCAAAAATATTTTTATATTATAAACAATTTGTATTTCATTCTAATTTCTAATTTTCCACATTCCACTTTCGTTGAAAAAGAGGTTTACAATTATTTAGTTTCTAATTACCACAAGCAAAATTAAATTTTTTTTTAATATTCAACTTACTCAGTGTACAATTCACCTACAATCGCAAACAATATGACGCCAAGCACTACAGAAATTAATTGACAACCAGCACCTATTATAGCAGAAAATACTAATGCGTGCGGTGGAGTTCTGAACACATCACCATGTACTTGCTTCCAGCCATATTCATCTCCTAAGTCGCGTTCCTATTAGCGTTAAGAAAGATTTAACTCAATGTTTACAATAATTATATTAATCTAAACCAACCATATCATCTATTTCTTCATCTTTACTGTAACGAGCGTAGTCTTTGCGCAACGTTCGCATGAGGATCATTGAAACCAATCCAACCAAAAATATAACCATCATAAAACTATTAAAAATACTGAACCAGTGAATCTGTTAAAGTGAAGTTTTATATTGCTTAATAAACAAATATTTAAGCATAAATAATAAACAAATGAAATACTACTCACTCTATGTTGGAAAAATTTAGGATCCAAATATTTATCAAAGCGGTTCTTGAATACAACAGAACTCTGTTTCCAGTTAACTTCATACGAAAATTTAATCTTTGCTCCTGGTGTCAGTAATTCTTTTTTCTCCTTGTGTAAAGTTATGTCAACAATTTGTTGACCATTGTAGCCAATTTCAAATCTTTTATGTGTGAAAATATAGTACTTTTCTTCCTGATCGTCCTTTTTACCAACCTCACCCCAAATAGGTAAACCATCTATATACATTTGATACCAGTATTGGTTTTTAACAGCATATGTAAAGGCTTTAACTTTATCAATAGTTAAATCGATCATGCATATTACGGTTGGTGATACGTCCACTGTATAATTTTCAATTAATTTTTGTAATTATAATGAAATCCATAACACGTACCTTTAAAATCAATTTCGTAGCCACTGAATTCCAATTCAACTCCTTGTAGCGCTTCGCTAAGCGTCTCATGATAGTGGGAAATGCTTTGTTTTGCACCACTGCAGAAAGGCAAGGAGAAGTACGCATATGTTTCTTGCCGGTTGTGGTATGGACCAACTGTATTCATCCATAATACGACTTCTTCACGATCATTGTACTGAATTAAAGTATTGAAATTAAATTAATAAAACATTTATTTTTTTACCTACCTTATGATTGTGCTCATCCGCCACTACGCACCAACTGCTTAATAATAACATCAAACAAAATGGGAACGCACTTATTAGCCACATCTCAGTTTATTAACTATAAAAAAAAAATAATATTTCTCTATAGAATTACACTTGTCTTATTCTCATAACACTGTTTTCAAACTCCAATATCGAATTCCTTATGAGCACATATACAATTGTTTCGTTCAATAAACGTTTTAGATCTTTAGGACATTAATGCAGCTGGAATGACGAGTTGTTCACTTTAAATTTTTAATGTAATCTTGTTCATTTAAATGGGGTAATACAAATTTAGGTCTGTCGGGAATCCAAAGACAATACACGTATTGAAAATTCTACGCAAACACGATAACTCGATATTTCTCATACATAATCGCCCGGCCAGAGATTCAGATAAATCTTGTTATCGAACAGAGTTGTTAACTTTCATTATTTAAACTTCTCAAAGTATTAGTATAGAGAGTATAGACATTTGGCTCTAGATCATCAGGATCAAAGCCAAGGGTGACTTGATACGACACTCTCTTATTTTCCCTTATTTTTTTTTCTCATTTTCTTTTCCTGAATTCAAAAAAGAGGTGATGCCAGAAATAAACCCGCTAAAAGTATCTGACAAAAGCATGGCGAAACGAAATTTCAAGGAACGAAACAAATACTTTTGAATAACGTGCAACTAAAGTTTGTTCGCTATTTTTTGTTATAAATTCGAAATAGTTGCAGTTAATCATAAAATCTTGATATGTTATTATGATTTGCATTGTTTCTTTGATATAATTTATTTTATTTATATATTATATTATTAGTTTATATGATTTTTAAAAGTTTTATAATATGAACACACGTATTTACGGCTACCGTGGACGTTAAAATAATATCGAAATTAAAAATGCCCAAAAGTTATTTTTAAAATAATCTATCGTTTTTCTCTCGACAGTGGCATGATAGACAAATGTTATAAAAAATATGGGTTTGACCGCTCTCTCTCTCTAATCAAAGAGTTTCGTATCATGTCATTGTTTTCCATGTTAGAGCTACGTTCCCATTGAGTCACGGCTAGCGAAACTCCAATACATTGACGTAATTAGCGCGGAAAATAACACAGTACAACTCATAAGCCCAATGTGCAAGAAAGGGATGAACGATCACACGTACACAAGAGTTTCGGTTAGATTTGTCAATTCGGCATTAAGAAACTTAAACAAAAATCGCTGGTATCGATGATGAGTTATTAACCGGTGGCTTAACCCATAGGTGGCTTGCAGAGTTAAGCTTTACACAGATAAATATTATACTTATGCAGTCCATGTGAAAGAGAGTTGGGCACAATAGCTTCCAATATATTCAATGCCATGACGCCATTTAAGCATGAAAGAATGGGCACATTATTGTAAAATTGTTAAATAAACGTTATGTATAAGTTTATAGTAAATATGTAAGCTTGCTGAAATTATTGCTCATTTTAAATTAATCTGTTGAGCCCTTTGGTGTGATTAAATAAAATTTTATATAACATTTTGGAGAAATCTTTCACCTACTACGCCATGTCCAAAACTTGACAAACGCAGACTATAAAGTAACAGGGCGAAGCTACTGTATTATTCATTTGTATAAAACAAATCCACTAAGATAATTGTGTAAATAAAAATCCAAAAAGTCCATGCGCTTTGCTTTTGATTTTCAGCGCAGAGAAAATTAATAAAACTCTTAAATTTATTGGAATGTCTTGTAGTTCAATGGATTACATCGTGACCAAAAATCGAATTTTAA